TTTTATTTATTTTGTTTTGATAATGATCTTTATGTTACACAATATACATAATATACTGGTGTTGAACACCAGTGGTGTGTTTTAGTAAGCTTGATTTATTATTATCTTCAATAACATTTATCTGCTATCATCATCTATTAGTTTTGTCACCTTTGTAGTTTCATCAGTTTCTTTACCTTTTGTCACTTTTTGCCAGTTTCAGCACCTTTTGCCAGTTTCAACACCTTTCAACAGTTATTTGTCATTTGAGATTTTAATTGACGAAATTCTAAACTAGGTTTCGGCTTTCGTCAGTGTGAAACCTTGAAGTTTTGTCTAACAACTATACATCCACCTGACTAAAATTTTTTTTATTTAAATTTATAGAATTTGAATTTAAAAAAATTTAATGAATTTAGTCCAGTGGGTGTTTATTTTGCTCAAAGTTTAAGAATAGACATTTCGATATTTTTTAAAACTTTGAGCAAAGCTATCTTAATGTCTACCTGGCCAATTCTATTATTTTTTTTTATTTAATTTCAATAATTCATAGAATTCAAATTTAAAAAAAATTCATCGAACTTGATCAGGTAGGTGCCGAGATATATTCACTCAAAGTTTGAAAAAATTTGGCGCAGCTTCTATTTTGATAAGCGTTTTTATATTTTTAAAACTTTGAACAAGTTATCTCAACATCTACCTGGCCAATTCGATTTAAATTTTTTTTTTTACTTAAATTCTATAGATTCAAAGAATTCGAATAAAAAAATTTCATTGAATTTGGTCAGGTGGCTGTCGAGATACTTTCGCTCAAAGTTTTTTTTTCTAAAAAAAAATCAAACCGCCTTTCAAAATCAAAGTTGTGCCAGATTTTTTCAAACTTTGAGTGAATATGTCTCGACATCTACCTGACCAAATTCAATGAAATTTTTTTATTCGAATTCTTTGAATCTATAGAATTTAAGTAAAAAAAAAATTTAAATCGAATTGGCCAGGTAGATGTTGAGATAACTTGTTCAAAGTTTTAAAAATATAAAACCGCTTATCAAAATAGAAGCTGCACCAAATTTTTCCTTAAGTTTTGGGCAAAAATATCTCAACATCTACTGGACTAAATTCGATAATTTTTTTTTAATTCAAATTCTATATTCAAATAAAAAATTTTTCACTGAATTTAGTCAGGTGGATGTCGATTTAAAGTTTTTGGAAATTTTTATTTTTACTTGGTACGATGATTGTCACGTGATCAAAACCGGGCATAAATGGCCGAATGGCCGAAGAAAATAAAAGAATTATAATTGATTATTCAAAATATGATCGCTGTTTAGCTGTTTTAAAAACTTATTTAGTTAATATAAAAACCAAGCTTTAGTGGATTCTTAATACCTTTAAATTAGCTAAAATTGGAGTTATTGAAGAGTTGAATATTCAGTTGGATAAACATAATTGTGGTATCTTATCGAAGATTTTATGAAACCCTGTACCTCACAAAACTCAACTAATAAGACCTCTTCGAAATATCATGAAACATCTAATAAGAAACTGGTTAAAATCACTGTAAAAACCCTTCTTATTGTAAAACAATACTTTTCGTACTTTCCAATGTAGTTGAATCGTATTCTGTTAAGCATTCTTATATTTCAAAATTTTATGTATTAGCCTAGTGTTTTTAACTTCGTAAAATGTTTTTTTGTTGCTTTATTATAGTTTTAATAGTGCAGTAGTTTAGTGTTAATGTAAATGGCATAATTAATAAATATATAATTTGTATGATTTTTTTTTTTCTTTTTTTAATTCGTAATTTATAATAGTAAAACGATACCGATTGGAATATGACATACTTTATTTTACAATTTTATAATTGACAGAAATATGGAAGTGACGACTAACAAATACAGACTTGTAAAATTCAATTTTTATAAGTAACCCCTTTAATGGTTATAATCAAGGCTAGTAAAAAAAAAACAAAATTGGGTTGAAAATTTTTCTTTTGCAAACCGTCTATCATGATTTCTATACTTCTGTCTAATTTGCGTTTCCGTACCGTACTACTTTACTATATACTTTATTGTCTGGATTTGAGTTCCTCAGCTCTGCTCCGAAAATTAACCAAATTTTACAGTTGGTTCTATTAAATTTGAAAAAAAACACGACCACATTGAACCTTTAATGATAAATTTAATAAAAGTAGTTAACATAATTATTAGCCAGTTAAATAAACTGTAAAATATTACTACTAGAGTAGAGATACAGTATTAACAGTCTGGTCTGATCCCGTCTTGTCTGGTCTATTAACACGCTTATTTCAATTTGAACCAGCCTTACGACAACCATTTAAACTAGACAGATTTTACGACTATAGATCATAACGACAATAGATCAAACCTTACTTAAAATATAATTTGTCAATGCAATCGTAAAATCATACAAAAAAGATTTTGAGCTATTAAATGAAAGTAAAATACGTATATACAATACATTTAAATACGTATTAATGTAATACGAAATTTGAAATTGAATTCGGTTATCGGTTATTACAGTGATTCGGAATAAATTAATAATAATAATAATAATGACACAAAAAAATTACAGTATACCAAAATCAAAAAAAAGAAAAAAAAAGAACAAAGACATTAATTTTTTTTTTTTGTGAATTTTTATAGGAAAAATACTTTATTAAAACATAAAGCCTCCATAATGTTAATATGATATGAATACGTTACAAACATATTTCATCCATTAAAAATCATGATAATTTCTGTATAAAGTGCACATATTTATATATACGTTTATAACAAACAGAAATTAAATTCTATTTGAGTGTGCGCTTTAATAAAATGATAAATTGTTATAGGATGAGTGTTTATAAAGTAAAGAAAAAAATAAAATACAACGAGAAAAAATGATAATGTAATACAAAAAAAAAACGCTATTTACAATATTTTTTTTTTTTTTTATGTAAATTTAAATTATAACGAGAATAAAAATGTTATAATGATGAAAAAATGGCACGTGAAACATGCCCTACACGATCCACGCGTCAAAAAAGTCAACATTTTTAAACATTTTAAACATTTTAAACGTGCTTTAATAATTCCTTCATGACAGTGCGAGTAGAAAAAAAAAATTTTTTTTTTGTACAAAAATCCATGGAAAAGAAACACTTCATATATAATTTCTCGTATAAATATCTTCAGGCGCAGGAGTTGAATGTTCCCTATAAGAAGGTGGAGAAGGTGATGATGGTATCAACATGTTCGGATCCACTCTACTCTCCTTTCTACTTGCAAGATCCAATTGTTGTTGTGATTTTTGATTTTTTTCAGCACTATTTGGAGAATTTCGAGAATAAGAATGTTCAGATGCAGCATAAGGAGGTAATTTTGGAGAAGTGTTATTATTTGGATTAAGTCTTGAAGGAGATATTGAAGGAGAAGGAGGTAATACACTATCATTCATCATAATTGCATTAAGATGATGAGAAGAATTAGAAGTATGACGAGAGTGATTGAAAGGTGGTCTTGGAACAGGAACAGGAGGCATTTGACTTTTTTTATTATAAAGTTGTTGTTGATGATGAAGAGCAGCTAATTGTTGTCTATACCAGAGATCATTAGCATTTAACGCAGAAGCTAAACCAGGTGGATATAAATCAGTATAACCATCTTGGCCATCTTTTGAATTATAAAGATAAGGAGAAGTATTGAGAGCATGAACTTGTGGAGGATTATGCAGGTTAAGTTTATAATTAAGTTCATGTTGATAATCTAAATATACAGCAGTACCAACTTCTTCGGGATCATAAGCAGGATAATAACCTTCAGCATAAGTTGGATATGCTTCAGGATAAGCCTCAGAATACGGAGAAGAAGGTCTAACCATAGCAGCTTGCTGCTGTTGTTGTTGTACTCTATTAAGAGGCTGAAGAATTTGGGGAATAAGTTGTGGAGATGGATGCTCAGGTGGAGGAGTATGAGTTGAAATAAAACTCTCTTGAGAAGTAATAATATTACTATTATTATTATTATTATTATTATTATTACTATTATTATTAAATTTCTCTTGAATATTAGCGACTCTTACACTTTCTTCAACTTGAAAATCATCATTTGCACCCCAAAGACAAAATTTGATATAAAATTGATGGGTAATACTAATAAAACGACCAGAATATGTAGGTTGAACACCACGTGGAATAAATAAGTTAACAGTATGAGTATATTCACCATCCAAATTAGGAGCTCTAATTTCTTGACGAGGAATAGCTAAAGAAACAACATTTTCTTTAACATGACGAGTTTCATTTGGATTATTACATCTAAAATCCATACAACATTTTAAAGCCAATTCAATTCTTTCAACACTAACACCAGGACGTACAAATTTCATTCTTATTGGAATAGTAACATAAGTACCAAGATTGAAATTCTTATTTGGAGGTAAAGTAAAAGAATAATCAACACCACTTCTTGATTCACCACGTAATTTATAAGGAGTAAGACTAGTATTATCTAAAGTTAAAGTTCTTTTTAAAGGACATTGAATTTCAATAATTTGGGTAGAAGAAGACATTAAACCACCTTTACGATTAATAGTAGCCCTCAGAACATAATTAACACTACCAAGTTCAGTAACAATAGTTTCAGGTAAATTATAAGGAAGTTTAATTTTAAAAGGGACGTCTAAATTTAAAACAATTTTATCATCAGATTTCCAAATTTCTTGGGAATGATCAACGACAACTTGTTCACCAGTATAAATAGCTTTTGTTCTAGCTTGAGCTTTATACCAACTAGTTTTTTCAATTCCTTTAAGATTAAGGACAATATTTCTAACTTGATATTGTTTACCATAATTTAAATGTAAAGTACCAACTAAATAACTATCAGAGTCACCTAATATTCCAAGTTGAAAAGAATTATTTTCACCAGCATAAGAGAAAGAAACACTTTTGCTAGATTTAATATATGCGCTTGCATGAGGACGACTTTTAGCAGTTCCACTGAGAAAACTATTACCCGAATTTGAAGTAGTTGGAGAAGGTAAATTTGACATATCAGATTATCTTTAAGTTTTTTTTTCAAAAAAAATTAAAAAGAATATATTTTTTTTTGAACTAATAAAAAGAAGGGAAAATAGATGGAAGAAAAATTAAGGAATGAGTTTTAAACAACCACGAGAAATAACCTGCAAGGATAGAATGATAATTTGCAACCAACTTTTTATATGAAAAAAAATAGAGAAATCCTTGTCAGACCAAACCGAAATTAATTGGATGCAAATAAAAATATTAAGCAATTCTCCTGAATAAATCTGTAGTGTAATGAAATGTTACAGCTGTACGCGTGCGCTTTGTTTTTTTTTTTACGATAAGTTCGTACGAAATTCTTCGCTAACCACCAAAAAAAAATTGTTTAACTAATTTGGAAATTTTTTTATATACATAAAAATTAATAAACAATTAATGGTTGACTTTTTTTTTTATTATAATTATTATTAAGTATTATTTTTTAAAAAAAATTGATAAGAGAGCGCATTTAAAAGAACTAACAGGAGAGGAATTTCAAAGCTTTATAAATAGTAATTAAGATGCTTTTTTTTTTTTTATCGGAATTATAATAAAAGCTCTTGATAATGTATAACCAATGTGTAACACAACAGGCTTTCATCGAGACTTGTACTTATGACCATTATCGGGAACAAATCAATCATAGTATAAAATAAGTTACAGCTTTGTTTTTACATATATAAACTTTGAATGAAAAAAAAGAACTTTTTTATTTACATCAATAACGAACAATATATTAGACCGAGATAGAAAGTTACGCAAAGTGTTTAATTATTGCCAAAGTTATTTTAATTGATATAACGAAAAGTATAAATTTTATTTATATTTTGAGTTTATGTTGATATTTTTTCAAACTTTCAAACATTTTAATTTTAATTTTAATTCTCCGATAACAAAATTATTAGCTATTATTAACTATATATCTATATTACGATAATAACATTTTATACCTAAATTATGATAATATTTTATTTCATTTATATATACCTAAAATTTGTATTTTTTTCCCTCCAAAACATAAGCCCCTGAAGTTCAAAGATTTTCTTTCAATTTGTATCGCAATCGGATATTACCAATAGCGATAGGTAATTAACGATAGATAATGAGTGAGCCAAATAAATCAATTCAAAAAAAAAATAAACCTTAACTAAAAAAATATATTCGTAAGTGCGTACGGAAGTCCGCGTAAGAATGAGTAACGTAACGTCCACATGACATTATATGAAATTTTAAATTTGATTGTTTAATTTAAGCAAGGCTTTAATATATATATTTCAAATTCGGAAGTCACTATAAAAAACCGGACAGATAAGTTCTTTGTACATACGCACATACGTACTAGTCATGTTATGTCGTGTAACGAATAGTGATCGAAATCAAATCCGATACGAAATTCGAATTTTACCATATAAAGAAACTCTTTGTTTCTATATACGTATGTAAGACCTACCGCAGTTTAAGATATGCATTCACGTACGTACGTACTATGATTTTTTGATATTAAATCTCAATGATAATAATATTATTTTTCTCTAAACTGATAAATGCATATATATCTTCGTATGTACGTATGTACGTACGTACGTACGTGCCTAACTGCTAACTGCGATAAATAGGAACTGCAGAAAAATGGAGGCAAAGTTAGTATGAAATATATCCTTATGTATGTGCGATAACACTAATTGTATGCAGGTACGTATATACCAAATACCAGATACCGATACGTATAAATATATACGTACGTAGTGAATGCGCTTTTATCAAAGGTTACCAATATAGTGTCGACTTGATCTACATTAGACCATAGATGCACATTGAGAATTTGCTGTATTATCTAATTAATTCAAACTAACTAACTGGTTCCCTTATGATAATACGTAAATAAGAGAAACAATTTTTATTAAAAGAATCTTTATTAAAAGAATCGATTATTTTAAAAGAATCGAAGAAAAACAAGAGTTTAGAACAATGTGTCTACCGCTGAGGTTACGATGTTTCACGGTTATCAATCAGATGTGGTTAAGCTAAATATGGAAAAAAAAAACAATATTTTTGAATGCTAATATTTTGAATATTTTTCCTTTTATAAGGATAAGGTGCATGGCGACATCAATTACAACCTGAAACATCTTCGCGGATAAATTCTGTCATTTAATAAAATGAATGAAGATCGATCAATAAGTCATCTTGTTAAACTATTCGTATCGGTATATACATTAAATTTTATTTTGTGAATATTTATGAATATTTTACAAATATTTTATTAATTCGTCAAAATTTTCATACGCATCCATCTATCGTTATCTGAATATCTAAATCTTTCTCCCTTCATGTAATCAATGTAATCAGATAAGACATTAATGTATTAGTAGTACACGTTCCAAAATTCATTCTTATCATGTGTTTACTATTTATTTTATGCACTGTACCTACGTTACATGATGCATATACGAATTTTCATTGTCGGTAAACTTTTAGTGGAATAGGTTTTTTAGTATGAATGAATGCATTTAGAATTTTGAGTTTCAAAGCACGAATACATTATGCAGTATCATTGGCATATAAATAATCCAATAATAACTTAATCCTTAATTAGTAAAAAGTTATCACTGCCTCCCGATTAAAAGATCCCATACATCCCTTTCATATACAAATTTAATTGACAACTAATACTAAAAATGTACTAGTATGCAAGAAATTATACTCGTACCTATAAAAGTAATTATTAACCAGATTAATTAATGTGGCTAGCGATGTATTCCTTCCTATTTTGGTTCGCTCTTATCGTTATTATAGCAGATATGTATCTGCATAATTGATTGATAACTTTTAATTTTATTGAGTTTGTTTTTTATTGTATATACTGATATATATCTATTTATGTTTATAATTGTTATTTTTTTTTTTCGTTGTATTGTGTTCGAAAATTTATCAAATTTTCTAAATTAGATTATAATTATACCAGTTTTAAAAAGATTAAAATTTTATCACACTTTATTTCTTTATAAAAAAAATTCGTTTAATCGATCATAAATTCATTGTGACCAATTTTGATTGGTAAAAAAAAATTGGACGATTGGTTTACTTGATTTATTTGTTTACCATTTGTGTTAAACAAAATTAGAAAACACTGTCCAAATGTTTGACTCATATTAACTTTTTTATAAAAGTATTTGAACTCCTATTATCCATATTTGATTCAACTATAAAATATAAACGGTAAAAATTTATCGTTATGCAAAAAACATCACGTTTCTAAAACGTGTTAATTCGCGTACTGTGTAAGTAAAAACTTTTTTAGTTGTCATGCGCATATATTTTGGTTTGTATTACTTACCTTTAACGTTAATGAATGAACAAATTAAATTTATTTCTTCATTTTTCTTTATTGGTTTTCTTAGTAACTTTTTTACTGTAAAGGTCTCATAAATTAATTTTTTATTGTTTAAGTTTCATACGTAAATTAATAATTCAATAATTGATAATTTTTTTGAAACTATTTAAAAAAAAAATCTTGTATTTGAAATTGACCATTTCGCTAAATCTTTTTATTTTAATAGTATAATTAAGACAAAATGTAGATACTTTATTTTTCTTGACACAGCCATCAAAAGATAAGTAAACTAATTTAATTGAATACGATAAAATATGCTTTACTATATACGTGTACAATGTCATTCGTTATGGTTCTCAAATACTGTGTGCCTGTATTGGTAATACTGTTGTAACGTAATTGAGTACAATGATTGAATTAGCACCGCCACGAAAAATGTCTGTACTTCTAGTTGATTTTGGGCCAAAATCCCGAACAACAGATTATCGAAAGCGACTAAATTGGCCAGCATTATAACTAGTGCCGGCTAATTTTATGATTAATTTTATGATTAATTTTATGATTAATTTTATGATTAATTTTATGATTAATTTTATGAGAAAATTCACAAGATATGATTATAACAACCAATCAAGTCTTTTAACTATTACAGTATAATTTCTATCTGAATTTTGACATGCGCATTTTGGAATTGATTTTTGATATAAAAGTACAGTATCTCAGAAATTTAGATATTTATTAAGTCATGACATATATTTCATATTTCAGCCTTTGCTTCAGATTGCGGCATAAATTACGACTTGCCTACCTACCTACCTAAAAATTGATGCCTAAGTACTTTCGGCACAGTCGCTACGGTACATACAGTATAGTTAGAATCTCGAAAATTTAAATCAATTTCTTATATAATATCCCATATAATATTGAAATCCCTTTTTGATATTCGTTAGTTTGCTACATAACAGTATGCAATTTATTTATTTTTTTAATTAAACATTTTACAAACTCGAAAAACATGCATACATACCAATCAACTTTAAGACAATCTAAAATATAATAAAGTTTCCAGGCTAAAATGGTAAGACTATAAGTGCTCACACGATTAATGCTTTGACCATTTCCACCAACTTTTATCTCCAATTTGAGATAAATATTATTTCGATTATCGAACTCATATTTACATATATTATTATTTACAAATTCTGGTAAATTAAAAAGATCAAATCTAGCTCCAAATCTAATCGGAATTGATACACCTTCACTCCTTTCTACCAATACTGCAATGTCGATATCTTCTTCATAGATAGATCTATTTATGTCATAAGTGTCTTCAAATAAAAAGGTATAACACTTTGTATAATCATCATAAGTTGGCGCTAATTTTTTAGACCATTTGGCAAAACTTGTTAATTCTCTATAGAACGAATACATGCAAACTGCTATCTAAATTAGAAATTATTTAATTATATCTATTAAAAAGGTTGTTTTTTTTTTATAAAGATTTATCTTAAATTTATTTACCTCAAGTTTTAAACCACTGTTTAATCTAGAGATAACGGTTTCATGCATTATTAAAGGAATAAATGTGTTCCATTTTTTGCAAACAGTTCGAAGAGTACAAAAATTTTCAAACCTATTATTTATATTTATCAAGAGTCATTAATAAAAAAAAAAAATTAATATATCTTGAAAAATAAATTCATTTATAATTACAAAAATATAACATTACTTTATTTCATTAATAACACATGTTAAAATGTAAATCTGCAATTCGTTAGGAAGAAATTGAATCATTTGAAAGTTCAGTTTCAGTTTTCTATTCACTGTATAAATTTGTGTCCACATTAAAATTTTTTGTGTAACACTATCGACCGCTAAAAAAATCCGCTGTTGATTTTTCCCGAACATGGCTTATTATTACACAGCCAATGAACGCGTCCATGCTTATTGGCTCGTCTTCTGACCACTGCATCCGTTTGGCTTGATTTTCAACTCGATTTTACTGATAATCTTACAAAGTGTTCCAAAGATTTGCTTCACCTCAATAATTTTCACAATTAGTATGAATTCTTATCTACTAAAAAAACGACCCTTATGAAAAGTATAATCCTCAAAACGAAGCCCAATACGAATCACAAGACAAAACTTATACGAAGCCCAAGAAAAAAAAGTCAAAATAATGCGTGTTATAAGAGTAGGATTACACTGTATTACGTATGTGTATCGACTATCGGGTGAATGCAGTCACAAAAAAGTATGTGTTTCCCCTCCCCCATATAGACGACCTCCTTGAAGTTTTGATAATGCCGCTTGGTTTTCCTCCCTGGACATACTACGTAGCTACCATCGACATCAGAACAAAATGTTAAGACATTTTTTAATCGAAATAGTTTACAACAAATTTTTTCAAATGAAAAGAATTTGATCAACAAACATTTTTAATTGCCGAATGGAAAATATTAATTACAATTACTATGATAATTAGTTGAATTATAAAGCCTTAAAAAAAATCATAAAAAGCGATACTTTGATATCTTTAGATATTCATGTATTGCTGAGCTTTTAACAACGAATTAGAGAATGAATTTCACATTATCGTTGTACAGCTCACATAATCAATTTAGCTGTTGTCATATACGTACATTATTTTCGCGTGGTGGGGATATTTTATGACTTCATTTGTTGTAATAATTTATTATAAGTTATTATTTCTTTTTCATGATTATGTATTATATCTAAATTAGGTGTAGAGTAGGAATGTTATTAATAGAGAGTCTTAAGATTTTAATGGAATAATTTTCTTTAGCTGAAGGAAATAATACAAAGTTAATCTCATCAATAGCAAGAAATGGAAGGATTAAGGAAGAAGTATAGAATAGAAAAGAAGGTTGAACATATGGAATAATAGATAAAAGATTTTTACACATAATACCGAACACATCAAATTATGGTTTATTGTGCCAGAAGACATATACGATGATTTTCAGAGTCAAAAATACATAACACGCAAGAATATTATTGGTGCTGATCTTGAAGCTTATAAAGAAGTTTCATGCAAGTCACCTACTCATTTCAATTCTGAGCTCTACACTATTCAACAAACATATTGTAACAAAAACTCAAGTTATGTAATCCGTGGTCCTACACATTGACAGAATACTTCAGGATAATAAGCTTAATAAATTATCATGTTCAACTGATGAGATGCGTCAAATTTGTATAATTAATCAGAGTTAGACTATAGTTTAATTTCATATAAGACGAAAATGATGAAATAAATGAATTGAAGAAGTCATTAAATGCTTATATATTAAGATGCTTTTATGAACCTCTAGGAATTTCAAACATTTATATATAGAAAACTAGATCTGTAAAAAAAACTATTTATTTTTAATAAACAATATTTAGTACGAAAGAATATGTACTAATCTTTGGAATTGGAAGGATCCAAGAAAAATGCATTTTAATCTATCATTAAACTAAAATCGTAGAACAAAACAATCTACAGTACTAGACACGAAGAAAAAAATACTTGAAGAAATGTGGAACCATTTTATTGAAGGATCACAAAGAGCCTAACATTTGTCTATTATGTAAAGTGGTCTGTTGTAGATAAATTTTTATTCAATGAAATTGTAAGTGTTGTCAACTTGTCTAGGCCGGTCATTAATATATTTTTAAGTATTTCTTGATATATTAAATAGCTTTATCAATTTTAGAAAAAAAAAAAATACCCAGCATTCTTTTATTCCAACATAAACTTATATAATTCCAAAGAACAATTATAATAATGCAGTAGAGAAATATATCTATACTATAAAGAATGACGATGATCTCAAATGGACAAAAAGATCTACGGTTGTCGTGAGCTATATCTTATGTTTAAAATCTTAAGAAGACATCTAGATTCCGATGAAGCATTAAATCGTATTTAAAACATCATAGAGCTATTAACTGCTATTATAGCAAAAGTGTTAGATGAGTAAACCCGATGCTAACATAACCCCTCTAAATAAAGTATCATTATTGATTTTTGTAATTAATTATTTCGAATTCATTTTTATATTTACAACAATTAATAAAGAATAAAAAAGAACCAAAGGTTAAATTTTCTATAATAATTTTATATTTTTCCTTTGAAAGTAGTGGTGTGAGTGCAATGCCGTAATTGGTCGTATTTTTTTTTATTTTTTTTTTTTTACAAAAACTCAATTATATAGTGATCTAGTAATCCAAATTGGATGAATTTGATATTATTCGATTCGTCTCGATGAGAAGAATCGAATGATACCCAAATCATCCAATTTTGGATAACCGAATCACAAGATATTCACGAAAACCTATTTTACGAATTACGGCTGAATTACGGCAAAAATGCCGTAATTCATTGAATCGTTATTTGCGAAAATCTCGTGATCCAGTGATCCGAATTGGATGATTTTGGTACCATTCGATTCGTCTCACCGAGACGAATCAAGTGGCATCAAAATCATCCAATTTGGGTTACTAGATCACAGCATAATTGAGTTTTTGTAAAAAAAATTACGACCAAATATGGCATTGTATTCAGAGTAGATTAGTCGCGCAACCAAATATCAGCAGATCAAGATTCAGAATTGGCTGGAATTTATGAATATTCTAAATTCAAACTTTCATTAATTAATTTTGTTATAGTTAGCTAGTATTATGGTAGTGTTATGCTTAATGCCGGCTAGGTCTGGCCCTAATTTTGGCCGATCTGCTGAAATTTGGTTGTGCAACTATGCGCTTACACCACAGTTTGAAAGTTTTAAAACTTAGTTAATCAATTGCTACAAATTTGTCTTGATTATTCGACAGGTCGGTTTTTATACTGTAATAATTGTTTATTAACTTTATTAGGCCACACAAAGTTGATTTTTCGTTTTGCATTACATGGTTACATGTAACTTACTATGTAAATTAAATTGTCAGGTAAGTTTTAACAACCCTAGGCGGCAGTCGAATTTTTTTTATCAGTTCTAGCGGGTAATTCCGGAACAATAGATCTCTATCAGGTGATACAGCATAGAGGGCTTTAATTCTGATTGGTCAATCATTAAATGTATCGTTACATATACACTGCATATATCATCTGACT